CTAGTTTGTAAAATTGTAGAATATGTGTAGTATTGAAAAATTGTAAAATGTGGGTATAATATTGAAAGTTGTAAACGTCTACGTGGGAGAGAACATTTCGAGAATATTCCTTTGGGTTTGTGAATGAGTTTTTCGGTTAGAGATGAATTATTATTTGATGTGACATTTACTGCAAAATGAGTTTAAAAATAAGTTTTTCGGTTGGAGATGGTCTTATGAATAGAAGCTTCAGATATAATAAAAATCATACCAGAATACATTTTCTATACTCACTTTATATTCCTCTTGTTTTATAACACGTTATCAACATGAGTCTCTGCCCTCTCTAGATCTTGATCTGTAATATGATTAAAGTATGATCTACAGTTACGTCTTATAGACGATCTTCTGTATCAGAAATTGGATTATTACAAATCATTATTTTTTTTTTTGGCTCCTTGTCAAGATTTCTACAAGTTTTTCCTTCTTTACCTTTGATTATTTTTTCTCACACTTTTCTAATTGAAACTTACACTAATCTGGTTCGTTCCGTTGTTAAGACTTACTCTAATTATTTTAGCCATATTATTTTAGCCACGCCAATCACATGGTCACATATGGCACCACCTCTTTTACCCACTTTGACAGTTACTTCTTCAGCTTCTCCCAACCAAATCATCACTGAGTTTGGGATAACATTTTTTAGATGTTCTATCTTCATGGGCTCAATCAACCTTTTCATTTTCTCATTATCACTTACTATTGAAGGTTTATCCTTATTTTTGCTTCCCTTCAGGGCTTGAGTTGCAATTTCTTCATTTTCCTCTACTTCTATAGATCCCTCTCCAGCTGTTTTCTTTTTGCATTTCACCCTCAGTTTGAGTGGATTCTTTTGGTCCTCTCAGTGGTAAATCCATATCCTCCTCTTGATTACTGCCATATCTCATGGCTTTAACTTCCTGTGCCTTTATCCAGTCTCCATATTGTTCTTCTTTGGTTTGCTCCTTCTCAATATCCTTTTTTTTTCCTCACATGAAGTCCCAATATGTTCGATTAGTTGGGATCTATGAGGATCTCGTTATGTACAAATCACGATTTCAATAGCAAACGTCAATCTATGTGCAACGGATTTAAAAGTTTGCGTAGAAAACTTACGGCTCAAAATTTTGGCGATCTGGCTGATCTTCTGGATGGCCGTACAAACACACGAACTGGATTGGACCACGAACAGAACGACTGGCTTACAATTTGATCACGTGTCTATGAAGCTGTCGGGCTCGGGTCGCGAAGGTCACCGGTTTGCGTGTCGCGGAGATCGTCGGTTTGGTCATGGGACGGAGCTGCCGTGCGCGTCGCTGATCGCCATGCTTGTCGCGGCGGATGTCCAGCTCGTGCGGCGGCGCGTCTAATTGGCCTGCGGCGGTGGTCGGCGGGTTCGGCTCGTCGGGTCGGTTCCGACAGGTCGGGCTCGTCGACTATGTAGAAGATTATCGTGTCTCGAACACCTATTGATCTTCTACTGTAAATCTCAAACACTCTCTTCAACTTGTACCGGTGGAATAACAAGAAGAAGATAAAGCTCGAATGGGAACTGAGAGAGAAAGGGAGAGATGGGACGCGCGAGAGGGGCGTGTATTGTGATTAATATTATGTTCTCTTTCCATGAGCTTAATGATATATATATATATATATATATATATATATATATATGTATATAGCTACAGTAGGGACCCTTAGGAGAGTACGATTAGGGTTCCTTAATTAATTAAAATACTTGTGGGTCACCCCACTTATTCTAATTAATTAAATAATATTAAATAGTCCACCAACATAATATTATTGCACTCCTTTTTCCTAGCCTAATTTACAATTGAGACTCCAATTATAATTACTCGATTTATCTTCCCATGTTTAAGATATAATGTCCATTAATTAGTTTGATTACGAAAATCAATAATTAATTAATTTATTATTATTTCACCGAAGCTAGCGCTAGCTCATAACATTCTTACTATGCCGGAATTTAATCCACCTGCAGGGTTTAACATAATAATCCTTCATGAACTCACTCCGGGGACATCATCAAACTAAACGTACATGGTGACCGTGAATATCCTAACAACACATCCTACATGTAGCAATATTACACAAGACATAGGGTCTATTGGCCCAGTTTACTAAGTCTCACCCATGTGAATCAAAGTAATAAGGACTACACATATATGCATGTTTAATATCTTACGGGTTAAGAGCACGCAGTAATTAACCGAGGCCTAGTTCGTTTACGACGATCAATATAAAACTAACTGCTCCTCTCTGGATCATGTTAATACATAAATGTACTAGTGCAACTAATCAGTTAAGACAAATTGTACAGTTGACACTACAACCGTTCCGATGGGGTGTTCATGTCCATCTAGGTTGTGAACTTAATTCTTGTTTCGCGAGTAACTGATAGTATGATCTTCGATTTGCCCGATGACGACCTACACTATCTAATGCAAAACAACAAAACGTAGAACTTGTTCAATGTAACGTGTTTCTCATTCATAAAGGATAAAAGTGTAATATCATCCAGAGCCAAGCTTTCAGTATATAACACTAACACGACTTTACCACAATAATAGCAAAATGAGAGTAGTTGTTCATATCTGAAATCTATCCATCTTGTGCTTCAATTACAAGTAACTGTTGTTCTTCTTGGTAAAGGTTTTGTCACATCCACTTATACCAAATTCCTGATTTTTCGTCCATAAACTCTTGATTTTTCGTCCATGGGTACTTCCTATCTCTGGCATATTCACATCCTTTAACCCCCTCCCCCCCCTAAATATTCTTCCAACCTTAAAACTTGTGGCCATTGTCAACCAAT